AAAATAAATACATATTCTCAAACTAAAGCTCAAAGCTTGCCGAAATTCAAAAAAATAATGTTGTCGAGGGTAATCACTTCAAACAGAAATAAATCGGAATGAAGTATTCAACCAAAATACATCTCCTGAGAAATTAACTTAAGAGGGAATCCCATTTTGTCCAGACAACGAGCTGAAAAAGAAGGCTGAAACAAAAATTCTTCCATGAGGGATAACTTGGCGGGGAAGTTGAATGGATATACATTTTCTGCTTAAGGTTGACACTCTATTGGAGAGAGAGTAATACAACTCTACAAAAAAGGGTAAGATACCAAATATGTGAAAAATGCAAATGAGCAATGATTATGCATGATGCTGATATGAAAGTATGAATGTTATCATGTATATGCTGACAAAACAGACATATAACACTGGGGATAAACATATAAAACCCGAAATGGATACAATCAAAACCCGGCTAAATCACGAACAAGATGGAAATTCTATAAGATAGTAAGCACCAATCGAGGAAATAAATTCCTATTTCAAGGCTTAAATTCATTGGGAAGGAACAAGATCAACAACAGTAAATTATCACAAACATGGCGATATAACATCTTCCTCCAAATTCCACTCGGGAAACCACACAGACTTTAGCGGGGGAAACAAAATGTTCGAAGCTCACACTTCTATTGTGGCTGATTTTACTAGGGAAAACAACATCGCATCAGTTGTGGATGACAAACTGACTTCATTGGGGAAGGGTAATACCATATCGTCGGAGGGGACACCTAGATATATTCTTCAATACTGAGAGTGATAATTACACCAACTTCTCTGGGGAGAAAGTACGAAAACCTCACGGGGACAACAATTTCAGAGAAGTACTTCATCTTAACTTCACCTGGGGAAATCAAGAAATCAAACACTACAACAAGAAACTTATGAGGATTTTAAATCCAATCCAGCATTTGGTGGGAGAAAACCCAAAAAGCTGATAAGCATTTCAACACTTCTTCAATAAGACACTGCCCTTGCCTGACTGCCGAGCAAAAAAACAATATGCTAATACTATCGAAAGGAGATGTTTCGAAAATGAGTCTAATCTCAACATGTACGGGGAGACAAGACTTTTATTAAATGAGTGAAGCCTTCACTTGGGAATCTTGGACTAAGTCTTCATATCCTGCAAACCTTTGAGTTTATCCGTCCTTGAAGTCACTAATTTTGTTCCCCTTTTGCATCACAAAATCCAGAGCAATAGGTAATTTGTAAATTCTTTTCAAAAATAATTTATGTTATTTAATTTGTTTGCTTTAATTATTACTATCAATAATAAATGAAATCTTTATAAACTGAATAAAATAAAAATTGCAAGGAATTTGATAAAAGGCTCAAACTTTATTAATAGAATGATAGCCTGCAAATGGAAAGGCTTCATAGATGATTACAAAGTTTAGAACATGGTAATATATATTGGAAAAGATACATTGAATTACAATGACCACTATTCTCCCTAACAACTTTGAATTCTTGAGCCGAAACTTCAGTCGAAGAGTAGTAAGGTCCAAGCAGATTATTGCTCCATTGACCAGGTCTTATCTAATGCAGTTACTTGCCATAAAAAATCCCTAACTTTTGCCTAGGCTGCCCTTGCGGGTTTTCAACCTATCGGGAAAATTTATTCTATTTGTGTCTCTAATTTTTGCCTAGATCGCCCTTTCGGGTTTTCGGCCTACCGAGACGCTCTTTTTTTCCTAAGCCGCCTTTTCGGGTTTTCGTCTTAGCGAGTTGTTCTTTTATTTTTCTAGGCGAAGTATTTCTTGACTGCATCAACATTTACAAGACGTGGGAACTCCTCGCCATCCATTGTTTCAAGAATCAGTGCACCGCCAGAGAAGGCTTTCTTGACAACATATGAACCTTCAAAATTTGGAGTCCACTTACCCCTAGAATCAACGTTAAAAGACATGATCTTCCTGCGCACGAGGTCGCCTTTTCCGAATTCACGAGGTTTGACCTTCTTATCAAAATATTTCTTCATTCTCTTATGGTATAACTGACCATGACACAAGATCGTCATTCTCTTCTCTTCAATCAAATTCAACTGGTCAAACATGTTCTGGACCCATTCAGCCTCTGACAACTTGGCTCACATTATTACACGCAAAGATGGAATTTCAACTTTAATGAAGAGCACTTGTTCCATGCCATATACAAGAGAGAACGGGGTTGCCCATGTTGAAGTGCGTACAGATGTTCGATACCCATGCAGAGCAAAAGAGAACATTTCATTTTAATCTTTATAAGTAACAACCATTTTCTGGATGATCTTCTTGATGTTCTTATTGGCCGCTTCAACAGCTCCATTCATCTTCGGCCTGTAGGGAGATGAATTATGATGGACAATCTTAAATTCCTCACAAAGTTCAGACACCATTTTGTTATTCAGATTTGAGCCATTGTCGGTGATAATCCTGCTTGGCACACCATACCGACATATGAGGTTGTTCTTGATGAAGCGCACTACCACCTGTTTAGTGACATTAGCATACGAAGTCGTCTCCACCCATTTGGTAAAATAATCAATTGCCACTAAGATAAAACAATGGTCATTTGACGCCTTTGGTTCAATCATCCCGATCATGTCAATATCCCACATAGAGAAAGGTCACGGAGAAGAAATAACATTGAGAAGTGTCGGAGGTACATGAATTTTATCAGCATAAATTTGACATTTATGAAACTTCTTGGCAAATTTGTAACAGTCAGATTTCATTGTCAACCAATAGTAATCTGCCTTAAGCATCTTTTTTGCCATTGAATGTCCATTGACATGGGTACCAAATGAACCTTCGTGAACCTCATACATCAACATGTTCGCTTCGTGTCTATCCACGCATCTGAACAAGACCATGTCATGATTTCTTTTATACAGTATATCTTCATTGAGGAAAAATCTGCCAGTCAACCTTCTCAATGTCTTTCTATCTTTATTTGATGCACCAATTGGATATTCATGGGTTCAGAGAAAATACTTGATATCAGAATACCAAAGTTTTTCATCTACCACATCCTTTATTGTAAACACATGAGCCGGTCTATCTAAACGTTATACCGTAATACGAGGCACATCATTCCAAATATTAACCTGATACATAGAAGTCAGAGTTGCCAAAGCATCTGCCATCTAATTTTCATCTCTTGGAATATGATGGAATTCAACTTTATTGAACAAGGGTAATAGTCTTGTAGCATAATCCTTATAATAGAATTCAACTTTATAATTTTATATTAAATATTTAAAAAATTGATATAAAACTATATTTTTTATATCAGATTTTTCAAATATTCAAGAGAAAATTATAAAGTTTTTTAAAACAAATCATAATTTTATATCAATTTTTTAAAAATTCAGAAAATTATAAAACAAATTTATAAAAAAAAATATAATAATATTAACTTCGTTTTTTATCGTCTATCAGATATAAATTATTAGATTTTTAAAAAATTCAAAAAATTACATAACACACCAAATTTATTAATAAATTCATTTTTTTAATGAAAATAAAAAATATATATCGACATATAAAATAATTTTACACTATCAATCAATCACATATTAAAAACTAAATCATATTGTTATTTTTAAACAAATTATATAATAATAGCTAAATAATAAATTTTTATTAGATCACAGTATAAAATATAATGCATTACCTTTTAACTCTTTTTTATTGACCTATCAAAAATTTTAAAAATCTAAAATTAACATAGTTTTGGTGAATTTTAAAAATGTATTGCAAAAGGGCACCTTATTAGTGATTTTTCTTTTAAAAATGCATATCAAAATTTTTTATTAGCCTACTAAATTTTCCGTGCAAGAGAAAAATTTTCACCACCTTATTAGTGAAAATAAATTGTCAATGTGAAAAATCGAAGGATGTTAGGTTTAAAAAAAATTTGTCAGGATAAATTTTCTTGCATATTCCTACCAATTGCACCCTCTTTTATATGCCTTTGTTTTTCCCTTCTATATGCATGATACAAGTATGAAATTGATTTCTTTCAATACAACTTACAGTATATAGTTTTAATATCGCAATTGTTGAAAAAAAGTTAGCATAACAAAAAAAGTTGTCGGTATCTCTCAGCAATCCATTGAGATAACATGTGCGCAGCAATTACGGTGAAATCCAATGTCCTAAGCAAGTTTATAACCTATGTGTGACTTTGATAGTGTACTATATATATAACTTGTCGAAAATAAAATCTGCGTCATAGATTATCAAGTTGATAACAATCCAAGTGCCTTCTTAACTAATGAATGGAGAACAACTGCTAGAATGCTATTATATAGAGCAATTGGAACAAGCATAAATCGATTGCAAAGATTATGTTGGTCTAAGCATCTAGAGAGCTCAAATAGCGCAATAGTCTAAGTAGCAGAATTCCCAAGACAATAAAACAGTAGCAGCTCTTCTTAGTCGATCCCAGTATATTTGTATAATATTTAGCATAGGACTCATCAAAAACATTTCTCCAAACAGCATATGCCTATACTGCTGTAAAAATGACAACTAAGCGTGTTATAAATTTCACAATTCTATCTGCCCAGAATCAGATTAGCAGAGTTTTAAAAAGGTCTACATTTGCAATTTGGGCCAGAACATCAAGGTTTTACTACCTCTGCTACAATAATGCAACTGTGATCGAAACGACATCCACCCTATTAGACATCGATTCTCAGCAATAAACAGAAGCAAGGCGACTACAACTTAAAGCCTCAATGATAATAATAACTTATCATAGACACGTAGTTTTATAGGATTGAAACCCCAACCTCGTTAATCTTTAAATTTTGAATGGCAATTTCTACATCCAATGAACATCAGCTGCACAACCAATCCCCTAGCACCTAGCCTACACAAGAGAAAAAGCATTTAAAACTTTGACGCCATAAGAGGGAGTAAAAAAGATAGTATTGTGAGAGCACGAGCGAAAAGATCTAGAACCAACTTCTATAGACAGTTTTGTACATGTGAAAGTATTAGTAGAGATAAGTATAAGAACAGAGGAAATGAGCATAACAGCAGTAGAAAAGGGAGACCAAAAATCGCAGTATGGTAAGAAAATGCGCATGTATCTGCCCTCTTACACATGGAATGAAAATGAGGGAGAAAATAAAAACTACCAGCAACCAGTTCAGGAAGAATATCAAAGCTGGCAACTGATTGCAATTTAAAAGAGAAGCAGAAAAAACAGCCACTATCACTTAGATTCATGCAGTAGAAAATTGGGGAATGTCCTATATCAAAAAATCAACAGAGGCAACAACTTTGCAGTCAGAGAAAACAACAGAACAGATAGTCATAGCCACACTCCCAAATGGCCAAATGCTTTAACTGCATAACTGCAAACCAAATACAAGCTGAAAATCAGGTCTCAAGAGAATATCCTAATTTACACACTAGTAAAGCTTATCGAATTTTCCATCAAGAGAACGTAGGAAGCACAGCAACTCAGAACCAATGTTGTCAATTGTGAATAGTGGAAAATAGCATATTGTTAAAATTCCGCTATGCAATAGTGCTATAGCACCTCTATAGCAACTATTTGACAACATTTTCTACTAAATAGCATATTGCGGAACAATAGCGGTTTGTCCAAATTCCTCAACACTATAGCAGTATAGCGCCGCTGAAGGATATTTAATGGCATTGCTCAGCACTCCAATTAATTAATCAAGACTAAATAAAAAAATGTCGCCCATTCAGCCATCCAAACTAGTAAAAACAATTCATCGAAGCCCCTAACTAACAAAAGATATGATTCAGTGTTCATCAAAGCTATACTTATAAAATCAACAAAATTGACTTCACTAACCAATCTCCCCTCACAATATCAAGCAGAATATAATCCTCGACACCAGAAAATAACTTGTTCTTTCCCATTCATGATTGGAATACCAGATAAGCTAGCAAACTACTAAGTGCTTACATAAAAACTATTTCTATAACAAATGATAATATAACGTCAAACTATTTCCATAAGAAGTCCTAGAGAGCTTATGAAAATAAGCTGAAATAACTTATGGGCATGGCACAAAATGTTTTCAGAAGCCCTTAAATATTCTTACATGAGTTTGTGCTAATTGATAAGCTCAAACAACAAATATATTAAACAAAATAGAAACCAATTAGAGTACACAAACCTTACCATTCCCTTCTCTTCACCAATTCTTCCATAAACCTCAATGTCAAATATCCACCTCCGGTCGAAAATTTCACCATACAGCACAAATCACACCCTTAACCTATGTCAAAACTGAAAATCAAAATCAAAATCAGCAAAAACATCAAGGTTTCTCCTCTCTTTCCCTATTCCATTGCTCGATCCTCGCTCGCCTTTCCTCACTCCCTTCCCTCGCCGAACTACCATTTCTTCGCCTCCCTCCTTCATCCCTACTATCTCTATTCCTCTCCCTATCCCCATCCCTATACCTATCCCTATCCCTATCCCTATCCCTATTTCTATCCCTATCACTACTTCTTCCACGAGAATCATAATCTCTATCCCTATCACGCGGCCTCTCTCGATCGCCGCTTCTCCTTCTCCGGCGAGGACTATTACTCCGACTTCTGCTTCTGCTCCGGCTCCGTTGAGAAGAAAACAGTTTCCTCCTCAATTCCCTTCCAATTTTCTTAACATGCATAAAATTACAATAACCACCACGGTTACAGCTATTCTCCTCATACTGCCGACAAGTGGCCTCACGGAAATCCGTCACCGGAGAAAAATCCGCAAGAATAGGGCGACCGGAGTAAAATCTCCCGTGCAACGAAGCAAGCGCAGCCGCAGCATGATCTTCCTCGCGAAACAGAACGTAAACATTACCGATCATATGATCAGCCAGATTATCACAAACGTTCAGCGTTTCGATGTAACCGAATTTAGAAAGTTCTAGAAAGATATCCTCGTAGAAATCTTCGAAGTGCTGCTGGATCTGACGCGGATCGATCGGTTGACCGTTGGGATCGACGCCGGGAGTGATGATATCGGGGCGTTGGTACATGTTGGAGAGAAGGAGAGTCGGTGAAATGGTGGGACGGTTGTGGAGACGGGAACAACGGTCGCCGTGTCTACACGCGCCGATCTTGAAGTAGAATGGACAGTTAACTCGGTCTTTCTCTGTGCCGAATATTGATGCTAGGTGTTCCGCCATTGTTAAGGGAGTTGAATTGGATCTGAGATTGGAGGTTTGTTTATGGCGGAACTGCGGTGAGTCGTGAGAGTTTGCACTTTAATATTTGGCCCGTGTGGCTAAATAAACCTACCTGCTTTGGATTCGATGAACCTTGAACTTCAACTTGGACCAAACTCCGCACCTAATTTTTGTTTTTTTAGTCAAGTTTATTTTTTGAGAAAAAAAGAAAATAAAGTTTTCCATCTAAAAATAAAATAGTATTTTCATCCTGTACAAATACGCAACAAATTATGAATAGATAAATTTTTAAAAAAATTTATTGATTGAATAGTTAAAAAAAAAAGACGGGATTTTATTTAAAATTTAGCGATTAAATGTGTTTTATGTTTAATATATTATGGATTTGAATGTTTTACTTTATTTCTTTATTACTAAATGTTAAAATAAAATATAAGAAAATAGATCTGAAATTACTTTTACTATAACTAGTTGGTACATCCGTGTGATTAAGAATGAGAATACAGACCAACTAACAAAGACTTACGTCTTAGTCTATAGATTCAAGTGACATTTTTCTTTTAAAATAGAAAAAGTTTATACTTTCTTATAAGTCTATTTAATTAAAAATGTTAGGCCTCAGACCACAAATAAAGTTTTTTAAGCCTCTCAGCTTATATAAATAAATATAAATAATTCCATTAATATAATTATATTGTAGTTTGAATTTTGAATTAAAATAAAAATAATAAAATTCGATTATCTTGAACAGTTTATTCAAATAGACTGAAAATATCTTATGAACTTTTTCATAAGTTACTTTCATAAGTTTTCGTAAAAAGATAATTTCACAATACTTATGCTAATAGGTAAGTTCATATAAGTCAATGTAAACAAACTTTATTATCATTGATCTTTTTGTTTCTTAGTCTATAAAAATATTATAGAATTGTTTATTTACATATGTTCACATAAAATAGATTTTTAAGTAGACTAATAGATCAATTAATCATTTAAAAAATCAAATTTAGACTAAAAAATAAATCTATAATAGATCACAAATCAGACTTAAACTTAAACTTTGATATTTTTAACGAGTCAGATTCAGATTTCGCAAAACCTAATTCAATACAATCTATTATTGCTCGTGTGATGCACATGTTTAATTAAATAATTAATAATAAATAAATAAATTATATCTGAAACATAAAATAACAAAAAAAATATTTATAATTTAAATAACTATTATAAAAATGTAATTATTTATTTATATAAATAAAAGGATAGTTTTCTTAATGAAAGTTTATTTTAAAAAGTGGTTAAAATATAAAAACAAATCGTAAAAACACACAAGTAAAATGAAAAAAAAAAAAAAAAAGGACAACAACTATAACATAATATTATTGTGTATGATAAATAATACAGCAATGATCTTTACTAAAAGAAATTGGTTAATATCCAAAACTTCAAACCATCATTGACCTCTAAAATGATAGAAAAAATTATGTTAAATCACAAACTTGAAACCACCATTAAAAGAAAAAAAAGTACATATTATTAAATCACAAATCTCAAACTATTATGGACCTTTAAATAGTATGATTCCTCCATCCATATATATGTCTACAAAAATAAAAATCACCACGTGTTAACATCTACGTACAAAATTAGAAGAAAATATAAGTAAAAAATAAAAATATACTCCATAAAATAAGTGTCATATTTATTAAAAAAAATTATCCCAAAATATATGCCACTTTACATTACCAATACAATTTTATATTTAAATCTTTCAATTATACCTTTTAATAATACTCTTAATTTATTATATTAATATTATTTTGAATTTATCAATAGTTAATCAGAATAATTTAGTAAAATCATTATTCTCTTTTTTATTTATTATTATTTCTTAATCTATGTGAAATGATCGATTGTGACAAATAATATCGAACGAAGAGACTACAATAATACAAAAAAATTAACAAAATTAAAATGAAATCAACAACATAACTAAATAATACTCTATTTTCATGTCCATTTCTTTCATCCATGACATGTTTTTGTCTCCAAAAACAAAAACAAAATGAAGATAAAACATGGTAAAAAAATAGAACAAAAAATAAAAGAAGAAACTTCATCCATAATATGTTCATACATGCAAAAAGAGAATTCACTATATTTTGTACCTTAAAATAGGTCCCTCTTCCATACATGATGTTTCTTCTAATAGTTTAATCACATAATAGAAAAGAAAAGAAAAAAGATAAATAAAACACATTCAATGATGAACAATTGCATTTCTCCCATCTCTTGATCCATGTGATGGATAATTTAAAATGCAAATGAAAACGGTTAAAGATATAGATCTTACAACATTTTTCAATGCTTGAAAAATGTTGCATTATTTGATAGATTTTTCTGCATATAAATTAGTGTAGCTATTGATGTTATCTGAAATCCTTGTGACAATCAATATTTTAGTGCCTATCTTTAAAACCTATTCGAATTAGTGTGAGATAATGGGTTAATGGGGATATACAAAGCATGACTTAATAAACATGCTAAGAAAAATAAAAGTGCGTGTCATCTTTTTAGCCATTTTAATTTTTAAGTTAATTATTAATGAGTAATTAAGTAGTTATAATGATAATGGGTTAGTGGGGTTATAGACTTAGTAGTAAACATGCTAAGAAAATTGCGTCTCATCTCTTTAGCCATTTTAAATTAGTTAATTATTAATGAGGTATAAAAACATTATTTTACAAAATTACTCTCAAATCAAAGTTTGCGCTACTTAACAATTTTAATTAATAAAATTTATAATTTTTGAAAATAGAGCAGGTTTATTCATAACTTTTATAAATATCCGATCATTATTTTGAATGGAGAAAAATATTAAACTTGTTAAATTGTAATTCAGTGTGTCGAAACAAGATCTGATTTGTTTTAGATTTAAATAGATTTGATTTAAGTCTAGAATAGATTTGATTTGATTTAGTAACAAAATAGATATTTTGGGTTTTGGGCTTTGGGTGTAAACTCGGTTATAAATAGAGAGAATAACCCCTATTTTTGTAA